CTGCATCATATTGCGCAGATTTTATTCTTCATTTTATCATGATATAGGTAGAAAAATTTCAAAAATTTGCTCATATATCATAGAATATTTATAACTTATTTTTTAAATTATACATAACTTCCTGTTCTCATAAGTTGAAAGAGAAAATCATCTAAATTCGATTCTATCTAGTTTTTTTTAAACGACATGAATATAGTTTTCATTGCACGTATGAGTTTTTAAGAAATGTTTGTATTTTGAAATGAAAATTTCAAAAAATTACATATATAAATCACATTTTCATGGATTATTCAAAATGAGTCAACGCAATCGACATATACAGATGTGCAGTAAAAACTATATTTATTGTGAACATTGTGCCAAAATTTCAAGTAAATCGGTTAAGTACAACAAGCAGGAGAAACATAAGTTCAAGTAGACAGCGCTTAAAGTTTTGTGAACAATAATCCATATAAATATTTAAAGTTTTGAGACTAACTACAATGCATCAATACCAGGTCCATACGATGCTTTTTATACGCTCGAACTACTTAAGGATTGAATTTCTCGTTTATGATAAACAGTGTGGAGGCCTTCTCTCTTCTAGGAAGTGTTGGCATTTGGGTATATGCTGAGGTGCTCTTCAGTCATGAGCACGAGAGCACGCCATAGTTGCAAAGAGGGCAAGTTTATGCATCAAATAGTTCTATTCTGTAAAGTTGACTTCTTAGGTAATCGTAACCAGTAGCAAGTCTAAAACAAGATGAGCAGGACTGCCTTTGGAAAGGAAGATGAGTCTCGACGTTTTATTCAAAATGGAGTTTCAAATTTTCCTAGAATCTCTCTTTGGTTTCAAATTTCCTTTTGGCAAGTCTTGACGTTTTATTCAAAACGTAATTTCAAATTTTCCTAAAAACCTTTTCCTTATTCAGATTGCAATTGGTTAGATTTAAAAGAGGCAGATACATGCACTGTTAAAGTTTTCATTCTAAAATTATGGTGAAATAACTGGCAGCTGTCTGTCCATCCGATTAACCGTAAAGTTTACGGTAAAGAACATTTTTTTTCCTTTATGGTTTTGAAACCATTTACAAAAATAATGGTTATAAAGCGATGAATATAACAATTTATGCAAGCGATGAATTTCACAATTTACAACAAGCATTTTTCTCAAGCATAAAAAAAAACAAAAATATCTAACTAGGCATAGGAGCTCGGTTTTTCGTAAGGTAATAATGGTAATTAGAGAGCTCCGGACACTGGGAATTCTCCATGTGGTGAAGGAATTTGAAGAAATATTGTGGTGTCACCACTAGGACTCGAACTCCAGTTCTGCCGTTCATGAGATTGACTGATAATCCCGCTCGGCCATGATATGTACGCCGTTGCATAGAAGTAAATAGTTTCATTAGGTGGTTCTAATTGGTGAGAAAAAATTCTGGTTGTTTAACCGTATTAGGTGAACGCAGTCAATAAACAGTTTTTCTCAAACTTAACAGTTTGATTACCATTTTATTTATGGTAATTTGACTGTTTTGATTAAATATGGTAAAATAACCATTCAATAAATTGTTATTTAACCATTTTTTCCGAGAAATTTCTAACAGNACTATACGGTTTTTTAACAATTTACAACAAGCATTTTTCAAAAACGTAAAAAATAAATAAATATCTAACTAGGCATAGGAGCTCGGTTTTTCGTAAGGTAATGGTAATTAAAGAGCTCCGGACACTGGAAATTCTCCATGTGGTGCAGGAATTTGAAGAAATATTGTGGTGTTACCACTAGGACTCGAACTCCAGTTCTGCCGTTCATGACATTGACAGATAATCCCGCTTGGCCATGATATGTACGTCGTTGCGTAGAATTAAGTAATTTCATTAGGTTGTTCTAATTGGTGAGAAAAATCTCTGGTTATTTAACCGTATTAGGTGAACGCAGTCAATAAACAGTTTTTCCCAAACCTAATAGTTTGATTACCATTTTATTTATGGTAATTTGACTGTTTTGATTAAATATGGTAAAATAACCATTCAATAAATTGTTATTTAACCATTTTTTTCCGAGAAATTTCTAACAATGAGACGCATCATATGCCACAAAGGTAAAAGAACATCTCATATGTGCGATCACTGGAATGGCTTCACTCATGTGAGGAAAAACTACTGGCATTGCTAATCTGGTATTATTCTTTTTTTCATGATTAAAGCAGAAACCTATTAAGCTTTAATATAATCTTAATGTAAATACTACTGGAAAATCAGATGAAAAATTCTTAAGAAATAAAATGAAATGCAACGTCATCTTAAATTTCTGATATGAAATTCTCAAATCGTCGAGCAAGCACGAAGATTTATTGTTTTACTATACAAGGTAGTTGTGATAAAAGTTAACCTATTTAGACCAACATAGTTTCCATAGTTCCCATGTTGATAGTTATCAATGAAGCTCAGTGTATATGCCGTAGGCTAATTGAATAATCCATTGTTCTTAATTTAAGAAGCTACAGCAGTAAGTATGAAATGAACCAAACTAATTGGAAAAGTTCCCATTATTTTATAATCAGCCTGAAACTTTTTAGGTTTACTTCTGCGAGTGCACATATCCTGACTCCAAATAGAAGATATGTTATTTATCACTCAGTTGTCTTGATGCAACCAGTTAGCCTTTACCCAAAATAATGATGGTTTATTGTGAATAGTCTTATTAAGGTTGTTTTTCAAAAGCTCTGTGATCGAATGAAATTATGCTTCGCTTTTTTTGCGAACAATATGCTATTTTCGAAACTGATGTGAGTTTGAAACAGTTACTCATACCCGTTAGATCTACTTTAGCCTATCTTTAGCCAACGAACTCTATGTTTATTCTGCAAATTGCGCAAAACGTCAATAGTATTGGCCACAGTATTGAGAAAAATTAAAGCGTTTAAAGTCTAATTTTTTAACGTTTGGAAAATTACACCAATGCTGCATTATCTGGGATCATATAAATTTGAAAAAAAAAAAATAGGAATAAGGCATTGATTTTGATACTTTTCATCTAGATAGAAAAATGTCACCAAATTGGCGATTTTTTAAAAAAAGTTTAATAACTCTTACAATACTTAAGTTATTTGTTCGTTCTAAAGCAAAGATAATTTTTTACCGCAAGATGGCAAACTCAGTTAAAAATTGTAGCTTTGCTTCAAGTGTAAATAACTTAAACTATGTTTTTTTTCTTTTCTTGGCGAAAGACTTTCGAAAACCTTATTAAAGGCTTATTGCGATGAGTAGTAACGAATTCAGTCTGATAGAGTATAACTACGCAAGCTTCCAAATTAGCTTAAAGGGATATAAGCTGATTGTAATAAGCTTGAAAAGATCGTATAATACAGTTTAAAATTATAGCTTTGCTTCAAGTGTAAATAAATTAAACTATGTTTTTTTTTTAATATTTTTCTTGGCGAAAGACTTTCGAAAAACCTTATTAAAGGCTTATTGCTTTGAGTAGTAACGAATTCAGTCTGATAGAGTATAACTACGCAAGCTTCCAAATTAGCTTGAAGGGATATAAGCTGATTGTAATAAGCTTGAAAAGATCATATAAATTAAAATTTGATGAATAATCTTCTACTTAACCCTGTGTATTAAAAATTGTCCATGATATTTGCAAACGTTGAAAAAGACAATTGCTAAATTTAAAGAAACTGGAGAGTTCGAGTTATGTTTGATCAAAGAAGACGACAGTGGCTTTTAAATAAAACTGTATTCAAAGCAAGTACGCCATGTAGCTAAAATGGATCGCGAAACTTGGCGTGCTCTCTATAATACTTTTTTGATAATGTATTTCATGAAAATGGAATGTAAAATTATATTGGTATAATTAAATTAAGTTCCTCATCACCAATTTTTGTTTTTTGTTTTTCTTTATGGGTGCCCTATCTCAGCTGGTTATCGAAATTTAAACAAAAGTTTAATTGCAAATTTCTTTTTCAAATGTTCCATATATGTATATACCAAGTTTTATCAATACCCTTTAACAATAGAAACATTAGTTATAATTTCCTAAAATACTCATATTGCAAAATTTTCAATCAAAAATATTTATATTTAGGCCGAAGATATTTATATTGAAATTATCAATAATAATAATTTCAATCTCAGAGCCGGTTCGAATCGCGGCATTGGCACCACAATATTTCTGCAATTACTTCATTACACAAAGAGTTTCCAGTTTCCTGCACTCCGCATTCGGTTATCCTTCGACTATAAGAATATTAAGCTCTCAGCCACACTCAGATAACAGCACCACTGAGCAGCTAATCACAAAAAATCTAGTATTTCCTATTTCCCATGATAGATGGCACCACCAGATAAACCAATCAAGCCACATTCCATGATTCATTTGACTAAACACAACTCAAACAAAATTTAACTCCAATGTATATTATCAACCGAAGAGCTTATCATAAATTTCCAATATTCAGTTAAATTTCCCTTTTACGATTAAGAAACCATGTTGGTTGTAAGTAATTACAAAACTGTATAGCTTTGTATTCATGGTTTTTTAACTACACTAGTTGTAAAAACAAAGAAATGCTCTTATCCGTAAACTTTACTATTAATTAAATTGACAAACTACTGCCGGTTATTTTACTGTAATTTTAGAATGAAAATTTAAACAGCGAAGAGTATTCCTGAGAGATTCTTTTTGTTATATGTTGTTATAAATTTGCGAAAGTGCATGCAAGATATTGATATCTTATCCTTTTTTATACTGGTCTTTTGCAGTTTCATACTTTGAAATTTATATTTACTTAGCAGTAATACTAATATTTTTTTGAGATTCAGAATAATTTTTAATAAAGTATGAGTTGGAGCCGGAGTTGTAGTTAAGCTCTCAGAATAGTCCGGAGTCAAATATTTCAGCAACCATCTCTACAGCTATGGTTATATAATGAATGAAATTGTATACAAGAATCAACTTTTATTTATCTTTATTGTAGATAACACCACTAAAGCTTGTAAAATAACAATGAGAAGTGATAAAGAAAAATTGCTCAATAAGACAAGAAAGACGGTGATGAATGACCTATATAGCAATTTGCTGGGTGAAAATAAGAAAAACTATTGATATTTTTGAGAAAAAAAAGTTTTTTCATCTTTGAACGAAGACAAAATTTCTTTCATACCGTAAAAAATATTATTCCTACCTATTTTAAAGGTAAATAAATTTTTCTCATAATGTATTTAATTATGTGTATTTCTCATCAAAATACACAAATTTAATAAAGAAATTTGAAAAATACGTGCTTGGTGAACTGGTGCAATATTTAACTTGTTGGTTAAATAGTATAATAGTCAATTTTTTTTTCGTAAAATAGTGTAATATTCAGTTATTTCTTAATAAAATAGTGTTGTATTTTATTATTTCTTGATAAAATGTAGTCATTTTTAATTATTTTTTTGTAAAATAGCTTCATAATTAAATTTTTCTTGGTTAAATAGTGTTAAATTCAGTTATCTTGTGATAAAATGGTGTAATATTTAATTATTTCACAGTAAAATAATGCAATATGCAATTTTTTTGAGGAAGTGGCAACTTAACACCTGTTAAAGAAATCACTGGTTGTTAAATTAAGCAGAATTACATTTGAATAATCAAAATTATTTATATTTTGATTGTTCAAATATAATTATTTTTTATATATAATCGGTGTTTTTAAATTAAAAGTTTTATAATAGAAAATGATGCTTGTAACTCAAATCGTTAAGAGATTCGACAGTTTCATAAAAACAAATTTCGAATAACTAAAATAATTAGAAAAATTTTTTAGGAATTTTTTTTTAAATTGTAAAACAATGGCAAATTGAAATTTCACGTAAAAAGAAAATAGGTTTTGCAATTGTTGTTTTTTCTATTTTTTATTAGATTCTTTTTTAAGTTATTATTTTTTTCAAGTTTAAAACCGATGGGAAAGAAGGGCGGGAGGTTATGACGTATGATGTTTTATTTTTTAACTGCCGAAAACAATTAGTATGGATAAATAATGACATTGCTACATAACTAATGTATTAATGGGAAATAAAGTGAGAGAATTTGCTATACTATTAACAAATTTCGTAACATGAACTATCTCTCTCTTTTTCAAATTTCTCTTAATTAAATAAAAATAATTTGTTTTTTTTTTACTGAATTTCCATTTTTTATAGCGACATGATATAAAAAGAATTATGGATTTATATTTGCTGCTGAAATTCTCGATCTTGTAAGCAGCTAAACTTCTTCTTATCAAGTTAAGTATAACTTACAAAATTAATATATGACTGCTTCATGACAAAATAATAGTTTAGGAAACTAATTGAAAATGTGCAATTGCATCGCAAAAATATTTTTAACAAATTGTAAATATTGAAATCAATTGTATTTTTCATATATTACAGATAAAAAAATCGGATTTTAAAATAATTGAAAACTTATGTGACAGTTGTTCAATTAAAAATAGCTTTAAAAAGGAATATTTTTTTGGAAAATATTTCTTAAGTTAGATATGTGCTTATATCAAAACAATTACTAGAATTTATGTCTTTTCAAAAAGCGATCATAATAATATAAATAATACATTTATTCATTTATTCATTTGAATTCGTTATGAAGCATGAATAATATTAAACATGATTTTATTTTTTGCATTTATAATGATCAATTTAATGTGTTTCTATCTTCATTATTCTATTCACCTACTATTCCCCAAAAATGAAACTGAATTAGATTTTGTTTTTGTAATAAAATTATTATGTGATTAAAAAACATCAAAATGTAATTATAAAAGACATATGCAAGCAAATTGGTTTCCATTTTCTTAAAATGCATTTTCAGTGTTGTTATTGCTTCACGAAAATGCTGCGTGCCATGTTGATTTGCTGAGAAAGTCTCGAACTCAATTTCAAATACAACTTTAATTATGATATTCAAACGAAATTAAAAATATTAAGTAGATAGAAATACAGTTGAAATGGTTTTTGGCTTTACTATTGAAACTATTAAGTATATTAATGAAACCAAAGAATAATTATGCAAAACATGCAACCACAAAACTAGTTTTTACTAGTAGGTATAATATATATTTTAAATTCTGATTTTTTATTAAAAGAGTATCTATATGAATTGTAAAATTATATCTTCTATAAGAATCGTAATGGTAACAGTAGAGAGTTGATTATGATTTTATTGAAAGTGTATCTAAGCGAATTGTAATATATTAAAATATACTAACACTGTTTAATCAATAGTAAACGTTATATGCTTTATATGTGCAAGCAATAAAGATTTTAAAAAGAAATAAAGTTTGGCTAGCAATAAATGAAATCTCTGGGAAAATGTTTATTGGTTTTAGAATATTGTAATATGTAAGAAAAGGAATGCTATCGTTCAAGAAAAATTATATCTTCTATAATCGTATAATAATCGCATAATCGTATAATCAAATAATCGTATAATCGTATTATATAATACAAATATTGGTAATGGTAACAGTAGAAAATAGATAGTTGACAGCAGCTAAACGTTATATGCTTTATCCTTGCAAGAAATAAAAACCTTGTAAGTAAGTAAAATTTGGTTAGCAATCAAGGACAGTTGTCTGAAAATATATATTTTTTTAATGAGTTGTGTGCAAAGAAATTTATGCCATCATCATCGGAGAAAGCTCTTATAAGAATCCTGATGGTAACAGTAGAAAATAGATGATATTTGTGCCAAAGTAGTATTTAATAGTATTTAAAACCACATTTTACTACAAGAATGTTGCTGATTATGTTAAAAGAAAGGAATTTTAAAAAAATCTGGTAAACATATCAGGGAAACATTTCTGAGGAAACTAAATTATTTCTCAAGTACCTTTTGATACATAACATTTAAAAAAAGAAAGTGGAATACAAACAACAGTTGAAAATTTATTGAATGTTCAGTTAATTGAATAAATTCAATAAGTTGATAACTTTGAATTCTTAAAAGGCTTAAAAGTCCTTAAAAAAGACAATAAAAGATTTCTTTACAATGTAGTATAAAACTTTTGTTAGAACAATTTTGTTCGAGAAATCTGTTGAAACAGTTTGTAAGAGAAATTTTCTTTCCAAGACTTGTTTAAAAAACTTGCTGAAACAATTCTGCTACCTATTTCAATAACATGCTTGGAACAATCTGTTAAATTGGCCTTTTAGTAGAATTCTATGAAAACACTCTCTTAGATTTATTTTTAAGTAAAATTCTTTGAAAACTCTAAGTTAAAAGAATTTGTTCATACACTGTTAGAAAAATTTATTTCAGCGATTCTGTTGGAGGAATCTCTGAAAATAATTATGTTTGAACAATATGTTAGAAAAATTCTAATAAAATAGTTATGTTAGAACAATCTTTTGAAACAACTCAGTCAGAATAATTTGTTGAAACAATCATATTAGGGAAGCTTTATTAAAACTATACTGTTACAACAATCTATTAGAGCAATTCTCTTTGAGCGATCTTTCAAACTACTGGCAGCAATCCAAATACAACCAAATTACTACCAGCAATCCTTAAAACTAATTCCATTCGAATAATCTGTTCGAATAATTCTATTAAAAGATTTATGTTAGAGCAATCTTTTAAAGTAACTCTGTTAGAATAATTTAGAACAATCTTTTTCGACAATTCTATTAGATTTGTTCATTGTATTTATAACATCTTATTCATGCTTTTCCCAGATAATTAAAAGCATTAAATTAGTTTTAAAGTTTGACTTTTTGATGTACTAATTTTAACATTTCAATTGATCCAATTTTTGCCAACAATAATGGATTACGGTTACGGTGCTCACGATACAAACATATTTCAAGCTAAAGACTGGAAGTTCTTACTTCTTATTCTAAAGTGTTTTGGAATTGCAAAAGCGAAGAACGAAAGAATTAGTATAACTGCCAATAAAATGCAGGATTTGTTCTATACAGGGCTTTACATAGTGTGGTTAATCCCATGCATATACACTTCATTTTCAGCAGTTTATTTTTCTAAAAAATATAATATAATATATGTCATAATGCAAATCACAGGATATTTTCTAATATTTGTAATGAGTTTCATTTTACGTTCAATCTTACGAAGAATACTAAAAAATGCAGTTTACATCCATCAAATTAGAACAAAAATTTGTTCAAAGCAAAATCGCAGACAAACAGATAAATTAATGATGCTTGTATACCCTTTGCTTCTTATCTATTACGCTATTTGCGTTTTTGAAATCTTCTGGGGATATGGAGACTATGATAGAATTGTTCGTCTAGCTTTTTTCGATCTTGTTGACTTAAGCCACCTAAGCAGTAAGACCAAACAATCTATTGCAATTATATTTAAAATTTTGTATTGCTGGTCATTCGGTTTCATCGTTTTAATTCCTGCTTGTTGTGCTTTCATTTGTTATTTTATTCAGTTGGCGAACTTCAGTACTGTTAACTTTTACAATCGCTTAGTAGAGAGAATATAAAAATTCGAATAACATCTTCGAAATCAATTCAAATCATCAGTGATTACAAGAAATGACTGTTGAAATTAAGAAAATAAATGATTTGCTTTTACCTTTAATTATTTGTTTGATTACGGTGTGGTTTATCACCATATGCTTTTCCCTGTATCTATTTTTAAATACCTTAGCGATTATTTATAGAAGAGTTAAGTTTTTAATAACATTTATAGTATATTCAATTCAATTTATTTCTCTCGTCAATATTTGCGATAAAGTGAAGAACGAAGTTCAAACCATTAAAGAAGATCTGACATCAAAATGAGAAGAAAATCGTAACTCATTTGTTACCAATCTATTAATATTACATTCAGCATTCGAACGTTTCAGAAAGAATGTATCTGTTGTTCCACTTGGTTTGTTTGAATTGGAGAAAAGATTTACTCTCGGAATGTTTGGACTGATAATAACTTACAATATTATCCTTTCGCAGTTTCAAAATTAGGGAAAAAATCAATCACTAAAAGTTGTCTTGTCAAGTGTTTTTTTTCTCTTTTTTCTTCTTTTTTTTAAGATTTTTAGCGATTTGATGGGTGATATAAAGCGATTTGATGGGTGAAAATAAGAAAAACTAATGATATCATTGGGAAAAAAAACGTTTTTTCTTCTTTGAACCAAGGCATATTTTCGTTCATATCATTCCTACCTATTAAAGGTAAATAAATTT